CCCCCAGGGGGGATGGCCACGCCGCAATCCCTTCTCCTCCGTTCTCCTCTCAGGATCTTGGGCACGTACGCACACGCGCCCAGCATGAGTATTAAGCCACCGGGTCCGGGATGCGAACTGCGGTTGAATACATGGGAGTCCAGTGACATAGCCATTACACTAACTGCTGGTCCCAAAGAAACACATTCTGAAGTCAGCCCTTTGCCCACAAGTTCTGGTGGCTCCAACTTTGACTTCTGTGACCCTGTGATATTGGCTGTTCTAGGTTGGAGTTTAGCAGGCTGTGTGATTTTGACAGGCAAAACAACATGGCAGGTAACATCCTTTTTGGGGTCTAATAGTAGATTTAGGAGGTGGTAGATTCGGGCAGTTAATCTTGGCTTTTAAATAAGGCCTGGTGTTTTGGTTCTTTACTTTTCTCTTGACTGCAGTGTATTTTTGGAGTTTTCTCTGCTGATCCTCTGCAGTGGTGGCAGCAGTGGCAGTGGACCCAGGCCACACCATGACTCCTCAACAACAGTTTTTCTTCCACTGAGTGTGATTTTTAATACACTGGATCTGGGATTCGAACCATGGTCAGCCATGTGGGAGTCCAGTACCTTTACTATCACACCACCTGCTGTCTCCACAGTATATTTTTAAAAGTTTATTTATTCCATGAGAGAGAGACAGACAGACAGTACCCCTAATAGGGTCCCAATGCCACAATTCACCTCCAACTTCAGCCAGCCATGCCTGCCTGACATATTCAGGGAAGTCTCTGGACTTAACTGGGAACCTTCTCATGTAGAATTACCTTGCAGAGTATCATATTTAATCATGGCACCACTATTTGGCCCCTACAGTGTGATATTTTCATATGCATATGCAATGTGTAATGAGCAAATCAGGATAATTAACAGATCACCTCAAAACATTTCTTTGCACTGGCAACATTTGAAATTTCAAAATATACAATAAATGATTATTAAGTTTAGTCACCTTACTGTTCTATGGAACACTGGAACTTATTCATTGTAACTTTTTTATGGATTATTTTATTTAACTTTATATATCATTATTATTATTTTCCAGTTTGATAAGAAACAGAGAGACTGGGGTGGGGTGGGGGGAGAAAGCAAGCCACCAGGTCTGGGACTTGAACCATGGTTGACAATGTGGAAGTCCAGTGCCTTTAACCACCATG